GGTCACTTTTTAGGGTAAATATGCTGTTTTCTACAACTGTGAACTTGCTTCACAATCTAAACCAAAATCTGTGAAGAATGACATGGGAAACCCAGAGTGATGCTGAATTGTGGGACTTGTGGCTCATTTGGGCCTGCTGTTTGTGTTTCTTGATCCCTCTGTTCCCAGATGTGCAATGACTCATCAAGCCTGCTGAACAATGGGAACAGCATCTCTTACTCCTTCACTTGGTCCCAGTTGGCAAAACCGTTACTCAGAGGATATGTGTTGCAGAGGGAGCAGAGATTTGCAATATTCAAATGAATCATCCAAGTGTTTGTGATAACTCCTAGCTCACCACACAAGATTTAAGGAAGACTAAATTATTCTTGTACACAGAACTCTCAGGGAGCTGCCTAATGATGCAGAAGGTACAAATGTATAAATTTACATTCGACTGTTTTTAATAAATGAAATGGTGGAGGAGCCAGCATTCAGACAGTGTCTCTTCTTCCCAGAGAAGAAAAACGGAGTTTGCTGGTCTGTAGCGATAGAGTAATATGCAATGGTTCGTAAAATTAACTGCCTAATTCTTGATGCCTTAATGCAAAACCAGAGCACAGGGTTTGTTATGAAACAACATTCCTGTTAGTGTTGCACTTTCGGTTACCAGAACTGTTGGCTGTAACAAGCATAGTCTGGCTTCATTACCCAAGTACTATGGTGCCAGCTGAAAACAAGTTTAATTTTTAAGGACTCATGAGTAATACTGCTATCTTTAATAAGCTTGTAATAGAATATTTCAAAAAGTTCAAAGCAACTTTGTTTAAATTGTCATAAATATATGACCAGTTTCTCCCTTACAGAGTAAGAAAACTTTCGAAACTTCCATGTGTGGGTTCATGTTGTTTTCCCCAAAACCAAATGAGACAGTTGGTACAACCATTTTCCTAATGTCTTGATCCTATAATTGTCTTGTCAAGTAAAAGGAGAATCTAATTACTTTGTTTTTAAAATCTGTCATATTGGAATACCTTTCATGATGGCTGGTTCATATATACTATTGGGTAAAAGGAAGGCTGGTTATTTTATTTTCTGTTCTGCAACTTGCAGTTAGGCAGGATGAAAATATGTAGACACAATTAATTGGAATTAAAAAAGGTTAATTGTGTTGCTTTAAATCAGTTCCCTGGCTTGCAGTTGTGTGTTCCAGGATATATTTTTAATGAACCAAAATATTGGGAATTCCTATAAGTACTTAAAAAAATCAATTTCTAAGTGACTGTTCTGAATCTTGTAGCCTTAAGTCTGTTATTCTAGCATGGCTTCACTTCTCAATCTGGTGGTTTTTACCCTGTTATATGGGAGCTTTCCTCAGAATCATGGTTGAGATGCTGGACTCAATGATCTTCCAAGGTCCCTTCCAGCCCTAATGTCTGTGCATCTATTATGATATATTCTGCACTGCAATCTTGGCCTGCCCACCTTTTTCTTCATTTATTCATTTTGATTAGCTCTGTCATAACAATAAGCCAGTGAGGGTCTGCCATGCATACTTTTCTCTAAAGTACTGCATATTATTCATTCTCTCAAATTCCATATTCCTGAGTGATAAAATAATGGTTTGGACTTGTCATTTAAGGTTGATCTTGGTGCTGCAAAAAAAAAAAAGTCGGTTTGTTAAATTGTATGCAAAGTTGGCATGACTGAATCTGGGCTCTAGTTAGGGATTAGACTCTGCTACCGGCCAGACAGACTAATAATACATGGAGCTGGGCCTCTTTGTTGTATATGCAACATATCTGGTATGTTTAGAGTCTTTTTTTACATCATCAGTATACAGACATTTTCTGCTGTATTGGTATACAGCCTCCCTGCACCAGAAATAACATGTGATAGGATCTGATTTGCGATCTCACAGTTATGCCACCATGCAAGTGTGGCATGGCAGGAAGTGCAACTGTGTGGATCATGCCTTAGATCCCATCATGCCTTTACCTGCATATGTAGATCAGCCCTTGGTGCTTTAGCCACTGACTCATTCTTCCTGCCCAGTTTTATGTTACATTAATTTACACTGACAGCAGTTTAATCTAGCTAGTGCGATTAGTCTGGCTTTATATTTGGGTTTCTCTCATATGTAATGTATGTTTAGAAAAACTTGTTAATTTTGCTGGCAAAATATTGTTCAGGTGAAACATGCAGCCTTTAGCTTTCTCTTGGTGTTTTACAGTTAAATGCTTTAAACACTTACAGCTCTGTGGGGTCATGGAAATTTTGGCTTCTGTAATGAGCTCTCCATTTCACTAGGAGAGACTATTCAGACATGTTCTGAGCCATCCACTTCTTTCAGCATGTGCAAACAGCCTGGTATAATCAGCCTCCTCCCCTGAATATACTGTGGAGAATAGTTTGCTTAAAAGTACTTCTTGGACATCCCCCAAGTGAATTATTTTGCTTAATTACAGATCTTTTGAAAAGCTCCATAAGAAATTAGGCTAAAGGTAGTCTGTTTCCACTGAATCATTTTTTAATGTAAGTTTTGGTAACAGATTGCCATGCCTTTCAAATTCTTTTGCTTAAAAGCTGTAACACACTTGTAACAAAATGATTAATCATACAGGGAGGAGATCAGGAGAGGAACCAGCAATAAATCAGGAAAACTTGCTTGCATATTCCAGGCGTTTACACACATACAGCTGTTTCCTGCACTGTGTTTGGGGGGAGAGAAAGCTACAGTTCATTTGCAGTCTTCTGCACCATCTGAAGGCCTTTATGCAGTAAAGGAGATGCAGGGAAAGGACTTCTTTCCCTTTGGTGACCTTTCCCTTGCAAGGCTGCTCTACTTCCTAAATATGACTTGTGATGTATAGGAAGACTTTTCTAATTCATGTAGTCTAATTATATTTCCTGCTCCAACTCCTGTTGCCGTGGCAAGATTTTATTTATTTATTTCTTTATTTATTTACTTACTTAGCACAAATCAGACTGCAGGAAGTTTACCGTCACCCTCTGATAGTTTAGGATTGTAAGGAAGCTCTCATTTTTAACAAGTTGTTCTTTGGAAAATGTTTTGCTGGAAAAACTCAGTTTCTCTCTATTGTTCGTCTTCTGTAAATCCCTCAGGATTACTTACGTGGTGACTTCCTATTTCAGTACGTAGACTAAACTCCCTTATGAAAAATGCCTCCAGTATTATGTGAGGATGGGAAATGACAAGTTTGAACTCCATTGTCTCTGTACCTTACATTTAAGTATAGTACCATAATAGAGTACATCAGTCTTCACTCTCATTATTAAGTCACTTTAAATGGCTTCCAGCCTGGTATTTCCTTTCACTTGTTCTGGAAAGGAATATGGTTCTTTCCCCTCAAGGACTGTGGCAATGGAGAGGAATTGCATACCTAGACTGAGATTATGCATGGAAGATACCAGGTAATATTCCAGAGGCCATGAACCTGAATTTAACTACTTGGCGAGTTCATCAACTGGTGCTGATCTTCACAAGTGCTAGTAGTATGATCCCAGTTTATTCGTTTCATCCTCCAGAAATGTCTGAGTTGGGGCTTTTTTGAGGGCAGTTTTTAGATCCCTTTATAGCTGCAAGGATAACGTTATAAAATGCAGCAAGAAATAGGTGCTAACTTTATAGATCATGTTTGTGCTCAACACTGAAAACATGCAGAGAGAGAGAGGTTAGAGGAAGATTTTCTTGAAAGAAGCCTGCTCTCTCTTTGAGCTAGAGTAGAAGCTCCCTGTTAACTAGAAACACTTCCACCCCTGAACACCATTAAACAAAAAATGCAGTGGCCCTGCAGATTCCTCAACACTAAATGACATTTGATTTGACTGTTGTTAAATGTGATTCATCAGAAGTCCTGTTGAAACTGTCTTGTCCACTCCTGGATGGAAATGTGTTTTTAAATATGTTGAGGTTTACAATATCCCACAGTGGTGTTGATGCGTTTTCCCAAAATACCAACCTAGGCTTTTTTAATAATATGCCTTGTTTAGATTTTGAAAACCAATGTAGCTGACAGAGGGAATCATTTTAAAGGAAAAATTGGTCTTTGAGAATTCTTCTTGGCAAGATTTAAATAATTATCCCTGTAAGTCCAAGGTGGCATAAATCTTTTGCATATTCAAAAACAAAAGACCCCCCCCCCCCCC